CGTGACGTAATCGGTTTCTTTTTTTACACGAGGGCATGGAGGGGGAGAGGAATAGCAAGGCCAAGGGCGAGAGGGGGCAGGGGACGGGTCGCTGGCATACAAGGGGGGGAAGGGTGGTGGGCGGCGACCGCCGCATACCGTCCTATGGCGGCGAGTCTCGCTACGCCAGGGAGGACAAGGACGTCGACGTGCAGCTGCTGCTGTTCGAGTCGTGGACGTGGTTCGGTGGGTTCGGGAAGGGGGTGTCGGCGAGATCCTCTGGAAGGCGGCGAACGTGCTGCAGAACAAGCTGACGCTCATGTGCAAGGTAGCCGCGAGGTGTGTAGGCAGCCAGATCCAGCTGCGCAACGCGAGCGGAGCGAGCGAAGCGCCAGGATGATGTGCTCCACGGCGCACGTCCCTTTGTAACGCTTCACGCCGTCGCTGTGACGTGCTATGAAAGGGCTCGCGTGATCGCGAGCATCGCACAACATCGCCGTTTATCGCATTTTATCGCCAAATATCGCGCGGTATCGCGGTTGCGATATTGTGAAAAATTTCCGCTAGACTAGGGGTTCGCCTCCCCTGGCTTAGCTCTCAGTCAATATATTGTGCACATGGTTGGTCTCTACAATATACTCACTGACACTGAACCTCCCAGAGCTCGTCCCGGTCCGTCACGGCCATCCTCGTCCTCCGGCGGGCCCCCGGCCGCGGCGCGGTGCGGCGGCGTCACAAATCCGAACGCAGAGCACCGGGACGCGGTCGGGCGATCTGAGGCCCAGGTAGGCGAATGCATTGCCCATCCAGGGCTATCACCTGGACCTATCAACAGGCGCCTGCGGCGCCGTGCTCAGGAGTTGGTTTTCACTCACTCGAAATGTGGACGTAAAAGGGTTGTGGTTTGTTGATGAGGACGTTTGAGCACAACAACACGTGTCATGCCGATCGGGCGACGCCCGACGCTCCTTCACTACGTGCTCCACGCTTTTTTCCTTGGTCGCGGCGCAGCATTCCACACCACAGACGACGCGCTCTACGCGACGACGCAGGTCGCCAAGCTCGAAGCCGGCCGGATTGCGTTGCCGCCCTCTGCGAACGTCACCGAGCTCCTAGTCGAGATCGGTTGCAGCGACCTGATGACCCTCGACCACGACCATTTGCCGCGCGCGCCGACCGCCTTCCTCATCGCCTTCGAGCCGATGCTCGACAAGTACGCCGTACTGCTCGCGCGCGGCTCGCAGCGCATGTACGTGAACAAGCGCAACCAGCCGAACGGCATGGCTGAGGTGCAGAACTCTTAAAATACCCACCTCTATCACAGCACACTGGCACGACAAGGGCGTGGACTGGCGCACACTAGGTGCAGAACAAGCAGAACTCGGCAGTTCCGCTGGGGCACCACCACGCGCGCGGCGTGGTGCTGCCGTTTGCGGTGAGCGAGTCCGGCGGGCCGGCGACGATGCACATCTCGCACACCGCGGGGTGCTCGAGCTTGCTGCGCGCTAACGAGGACACGACGTGGGGCAAGTTCTGCCTCGACCTCCTTGAGAACCGCACAGTGGACACGATATCGGTGGACGAGCTCGCGCGGCTGCTGCCCGAGGCGCTGCCCATCCGGCTGCTCAAAATCGATGTGCAGGGCCTCGACGTCCGCCTCGTGCGCCGGATGCCACGCGCGCTGCTGCGACGAGTACGCGAGCTGCGGTTCGAGGTCGCACTGCAAAACGCCCGGTGCACGTCGCTCTACAAGGGGCAGGAGACGTGCGAGAGCGTCCGCTCTTACCTGCTGGGGCTCGGCTTCCGCGGGCACTGTCCGCGGAGCCCCCCTTACACGGGCTGCGAGGGTGACGCCGTCTTCAGGCGCGCGGAGCTTAGGGCATGACGCCGCGGTGAGGGGTTCGCAAACTGACTCGCACTTCAGATAAATCCGCGTCCCGGATCCGCAAGCCCCAACTCTTGCCGCTCTTCTGTGTCGGGTTGTGACGAGGGGTGTGAGGGGACGGATTGAAGATCCCGGTCCACACCAAGATCGTGCAGGGCGGGGACACATGTCCCTAAATCCCATCTCGTCTCAGAGTTTGACCGTTTTATTTATTCATTTAAGCTCCGGCTTTTGGCGTGTCGGATCACGAAACAAAACGTCGAACGTAGATCTCGCCACTCGCGCGGCTAAAACACCGGAGTTTTCCGGTGCGGCTGCGGAGAGGGGAGAGGCCGTGCGAGTGCCAGGTGGTTGGCCTCGCAAATGGCAATCAATCGCCGAATCATTGAAATGGCAAAGGCCTGTGCAGCTGAGAAACTGAGATGCAGGCGGTACATGAGAGAGGTACCGTAGCTACGCAGTCTCGGGCGCGGGGCGGAAGCCCCCGGAAAAGCCGGAACCCCACCCACCAGCACCACCGGCACCGCGCACCGGCGGCGGACAGACCTGCGCGTCGCCGTGGAGTTAGCGGAGCCGGGCCGAGGGTAGGTAGAGCGAGGTGCGCAAGATGCGTATATTTGACGGCGAGCCAACTCAATCTCAAATCCCCCCCCCCCCCCATTCCCGGCTCCTAGCCCGGCTCGGCTCGCGCGAGCGCCCCCCATGGCGCCCCCCCAGCCCCCACCCGCTCGAGCCACGTCGCCATTGCCCCGTCTCCATCCTCCTCCCCGTCATCCATAGCGAGCGACGGTGCCGCCTGCGCGCGGGACTGATGCGCCTCCAAGTGCGCCTCCCACACACGGAACAGCCGCAAGCCAAGGCGCATTTGCACCCCGGCATCCTGCCTCTCCAGCTCCTCTGGCAGGACCGGCGACGGCATCACATCCCAGCCCACCGATCGCGCCGCCCGCCCGTCAAGGAGCGCGGCGTTGAGGTCGATGGCGGGCTGCCTGTGGCGGTTAAGAACAGTGAGTTTGGGCCGAGTGTGATCTTCTGGCGAGGATCGTGCGAAAGTCTGTGCGATGAATGTCTCTATTTGGGCGAGTGTGGCCGTGGCGGTGTCGGGACTGTGAGGATGGGAGGTGAGGCGACCTGCAGAGCGACACGCCTCCGGATGGCGGACAGACTGGGACCGCCGCAGGCCTGTCGGTCGGCCCACAGATCTTCACCTCGAGCCCTCGCTCGAGCGCCTGGAGTGATGGAGAAGGAAATCAGAGGAGCGGTACAAGAGATGTGGACGAAGGGAAGGAAGGGCGAGCCCAGCAGCGGAGCGAACCACTCCGTCCTCGTGGAAGCGCAGCAGTCTCGTCGTCATCGCCGTCTGAGGCGTGGTCCAAACTCGAGCTGCTGGATGCGCCTGTGGTCCAAACGAATGGGATCAGGACTCTTTAGAGGGTCAGATCGAGCAACGCAGCTCTGATTTCACACGTGAGCTCGACAACGACTGGCGATCGCTGACACGTTCGGTGATCAGAGTTTTGGCGCGAAGCCCCACCGCCGTGGATATGTCCTTGGGGTTGTCTGAGGCGGTGGCCGTCAGGCGGGAGGGTCGCAACTGCAACCGTAAACCGCGGGCATGACGAGGCACAGGCGGAGAACGCATTGCACAAGGTCGCGCAGGATCACACGCTGTTGTTCCGAAGTGGTGCCCGGCCACCACAATGCGGCGGTTTACCGGGTTTGGTGTGAATCACTGTCGTCGTATGCGAGGTTCTTGTTTCTTATCACCCTATCTGTGAACTGTGCGTGCTTTTTTGTGAAGCATTCCCTTGCCCGATTTTCTGGAGCACCTAAGGATACGATTCGCCCTGGCGAGTAGAGACCACGCCTCACTTTTTCACAGGGGGGGCAAAGGCCCGCCGCCTAAACATGGGCTGCAAGGCGCGCGGGCAGCCCGGCCAACCCTTCGACCACAAGACCGGCCACGGCTACGTCAAGGCGCATCGCGGTTTCTACCACGACGCGATCTTTGTCAAGCGCAACAACTTCAACCTGCTGCTCCACGAGACGTTCGGCGGCGGCTTCTCGCCCACCGCCGTTCTCAAGCTGCGCCGCCTCGCGCGCAAAGTCGCGCGCGGCAGCGTTGACCGCACGGCCTACTCGCCCAAGTACTCGCTCTCTTTTATGTCCCACCATGCAGAGCGCATCTCTCTCTCTGTTGTGCGAGGCGTGAACCGCGCCATTCGCTCTCACCTGGCAACCCTGTCTGCACGTCTCGCGCGCGCGTGAACAGGGCTCCAGGCCCCAAATTACGTGTGAGTGTTAGAGTTGTTTGGTATTGCTAAAAATCTCTCTCAGGGGGGGATCCGTCTGGAAAAAGGATGCTTTTCGCTGCACATGCTGAAGCCGACAAAACAACTCTCTGAAGCCGCCAGGCAAAGCTTGTGCTGTGAATAGCAGGCGTGGTCTCTACTCGCCAGCGATTCGCCAACGATCCGAAGGAATAAAAAAGAAATCACCCGAACGCTCAATCTGGCAGTCATGTTCATCATCATGTATGAATGCATGTGCCTCTGCAAGGGGCCCCTCCAATCTCCTGCCCCACCGCTTGGTAGCAGGTAGCATCGACGGGTGGCCTTGCCTCCCACATCGATGTGGGCGTAGGGGTTGAGTTGAGTAGTGCGTCATCTTGAGGAACGCTAGACTCGACTCCCTCTCGGAGATCGACGCCGCCCGACCGCCGGAGATCACCGGAGATCACCCGAGATCACCGGAGATCACCGGAGGTCTCGATGTCGAGGCGACGACGATCTCGTTCTCGACGGGGCCCTGGCGTGGTTGGGCGTTGTGGCTCCCCACGCCCTGGGACAGACACATCACGACACACATGACCAGAACACGCTGCGTGACGAAAGCGGGGGAGTGAGACTAGTCGTCTCCTCAAGTCGTCTCCCCAATGAGACCCATGAACAGAGAGAGCTGAATCAGCTCTGAGCCATGAACATCGCCAGGAAGAGGGCGGGTGGGGGCGATTGTATCATGGCGCGAGGCGCGCTGGCTCCATGGCAGCACGTTGAAGCAGAGCAGGTGGGGACGAGGACGCGCGGAAGGACGCGTCGCCTCTCTGCTGTGAATACTCGAGGGAGAGTGCTGCAGCGGTGGAGCCTTGCTCGGCGCCTCGCCCTCAGCAGAGCGGGCGAGAAAAGCTGAAGCTGTTCGCGCCACAATGTCTCCGCCCCGCCTCTCCCTCGTCCTCCTCCTCCTCCCGCCGTGCGCGTCCGCCGTGCGCTTCCTCGTGCTGCGGCACGGACAGACGGATCACAACCGCGACGGCATCATCCAGGGTTCGTCTGACGTGTCACGGCTGAGCGACAGAGGCCGCACGCAGGCGCGGGAGGTGGGCGCCGCGCTTGCGCGACTGGGCGACGTCCGCGTCGCGCGCACCTTCCTCTCTCCGCTGGCGCGCGCACAGCAGACGCACGAGATCCTCCTCCTCGACCGACCCGACCTCCCGACGCCGACGACGCTGGACGGCCTGCGGGAGATCGACCTCGGCTCGTGGGAGGGCCGTGCCAAAGCGGAGCTCCGCGCAGAACAGCCTGATGTGTACGCGGCGTGGCAGTGCGACCCGCTCGCGATGGTCGTCGACGGCAGGAGACCTAGATGTTCGGTCCACATCTCCCGACTGCAATGGGGCTGCCTCATGCATGCACTCACACCCTGAGCGGGTGTGTCGAATGGGGCTGCGCTCACACACCCCGAGCGCGGTGTGCTCACAGCGTAGGTCGGAAGCCGATCGTCGAGCTGTGGGAGAGGTGTGGGCTCACCCTCACGCACCGGGCCTTGCGTACAAGCCATGCGTGCCGGGCCTGCTCCGGCCTGCCCGTCTGGGTGTGGAGATGGCAGGAGATGCGAGGGGGCTGCCCGGCCCTTGCCCCACCACCTCGTGTGAGTGGAGTCGTCCCGCCGCAAGGTCCTCACCTTGCCTCACCTTGCCTTAGGGCCCGGTCGGCTGCTTGGCTCGCAATGCTAGATGCGGACTCCAGACCCGCATCTCCCCACATCTCCCCGTATCTCGAGGCCCTAGATGCGGCGCACAGGACCTGTGTCCTCCGACTCGCACTCGAGAGGCCAACCATTCCGCCGCACCCCGCTGTGCCCAGCTGTATTCAGCCGTACTCGACTGGACTCCGCTCGGGTCCAGCTGTGAATGGCTGCATTCGTGGCGCTTGCTCACTCTCGGAGCTCCCAATCCACTGCCTGAGACCCTCCCCAGACTTTGCTTCACGCAGGCCGAGATTACCCGAGATACTCTGGTGTAACTTGTGACGCAGGCCAACGCTGCGTGCGGTGGACACGGCGGCGGCGGAGGACGACGAGGGTGCGACGCTGGTGGTCTGCCACGGCTCGCTCGGCCAGGCGCCGCCCGCACCGCCCTCGGGCTCGAGATGGCCCGAGATGACCCGAGATGACCCGAGATGGCCCGAGATGACCCGAGATGACCCGAGATGACCCGAGATGACCCGAGATGGCCAGAGATGGCCAGAGATGGCCAGAGATGGCCCGGGATGGCCCAGATGACCACCCGCTCGGCCAGGCGCTGCTCTGCACCGCCCTCGGGCTCGACGCCACCGCGTGGCGGAGGCACCGCCTAGCTAGATGCACCGCCGAGAGAGCTCGGTGCACCGCCAAGAGCCGAGAAAGGGGGGCAGTCAGTGGCTGTCCGCCACCACCGCCGCTGTATGCGCGCGTCGCAGCTGTATCTCGCTTGGACGAGGGCTGCAGTCGCAAGCCCGACCCCGCCGACTCGCCCTCAGGCACCCCTTTCCAAACTGTGGCATGGCAGAGATCGATTGGCCGGCGGATGCGCCGCGGGCGACGCGCTGGCGGTGGCGGTTGCCAGAGGAAGGCTGCTGGCAGAGCGGGACCGCCGCCAGGGCTCTGCACTTGTCACGGGTCGGCGTGCGGATAGAAGGATAGGGAGCGGGGAGGTAAAAATGTGAAACACCAAACAGTCTGTTACTGTTTCGTGTTTGTAGTTTGATCTCTTTTATACCCAATTACCGCTCTTAGAGTTAGATCTTAGAAATAGAATGAGCACAGCGACGGCCGAGACGCGTCTGTTTAGTGTTTTGCAGCGCCACGCGGCGAAACAACGGTGCACGCGAGGCGCTCGGCGCGTCCGCACCGCGCAGGTGCGATTACATCACCCATCAGTTACAAGTTACCTGCAGGTGTGCGAGGCCAGATGAGTCATGAGAAACGCGTGTGTGTCACTCTAGAAGGGCAGCCCAGTTTGCGTCGACTGCTGGAGAAGCCGGAGCGGTGCGCCCCTGAGGCACGCGCAGGCGGCGCGATTCAACGCGCACGCGATCAAAGTACAGCAGGTGCGTTTCCTTCATATCGATCCAGCGCCCTGCAAGCCACTCGGGAACCCAGGTGGCAACGTTGAGCTGGTGGCGGTCAGTGCGCATGTGCACGCTGACGGAAAACGTCGGCTCGCCCAGGGAGGCCCAGTCGGCTCGAATCAGTGCCTCGCCCGCCGCCTATTCATGCAAGCTACGCCCGCGTGAGGCGCGGCCTGGCTCGCCGTGAGGCTCGGGCAAAGTTGCGCGGGACCCATGAGAAGCGGACCATAATGTCGACCTGAGTCTTAAACGTTCTCTCGTCGAGCCGCTCCATGGCATGCTCTCTGGAATCAAACACAAGCCAGGTCTCCGGATATCTCTCAACGTCGGCAAAGCCCTTTATTGCCGAATTCACAAAGTCAAGCCCAGTATCGAGACTCGCCACTGCAGCAACAGCTTTACCATACCAAGCCACGGGAGCGCGGCCAAAGGAGTCCGTCCCGTTCGGCGGAACACAAAGCTGAAGATCTAGGGTCACGCGACGCAGCTTCACACGTCGGCTTGCCCCTAGGACCACACCCCAGGCCTCCACGGGTGAGCGTGTGGAATTGAGCCGATAGACAAGGTGTTGCTGGTCTCTTGCACACGTCAAGATGACTGGCCCCGCTTCTGCCTGAGACTCCGCCGGTGGCCTCGTGGGGAGTAGGAGTGCAATGAGTAGCAGCGTGGCCAATGCGCACACGCCCGTTGGACGTCGATCGCACGTCGGGGCGGGGTTGGTCAGCATTTGTGTGTCGTCCGCGTATGGCAATACCCGGGGAGAGCACAAAAGGTTAAAAGATTTTTTTGACCAGAACTCTCTCTCACAGCAAGGCTCGACACAGGTGCGGACTGGCGCGTGCTAGCACTAACACAGGCAAACCACCGGAGCCGCAAAGGTTGAAAAGAATTTCGCCAACGAATTTTCAAACGTGGGTGTAAGTCGGAGAAGAAGTCGGAGATACTTGTAAGTCGGAGAGATAAGTCGGTGAGAAGAGAGAGCTTCGGCTGAGGGCTGACAAGCTGCCGAGAGAGTGATTTCGTGTTGGTTTTCGGAAAAAACGTGGGAGAACCACCCCAAATCGCAAATGGCAAAGATACGGACTTCCCCGATCATGCGCAGCAACTGGCGGGCAGGTGTATGTAGATTGAGCGCCGTTGGTGAGATGTTCAGAGACAGAGAGATTTTCTTGTTTTCTTGTTCTTGATGTTCAGTGCAGATGTGGTAGGTGTATCACTGTAGCTCCATTTTGAGATTTTGTGTTTTGTCCGTTAGAAGGGTAAAAAGAAAGAAAGAAAAGAGACAAACGCGCGCGCGCCCACCCCACAGCCCTCCGTATACTTCTTCTTGTCAAGGAGGGTGGGACTCTGACCTGTTCCGACCCTGATCCGACCTCTCTCGAACACCGACCTGATCCGACCGTGTTCACTTCGAACACGGTCGGATCAGGGTCGGACCAGAGTCGGAACAGTCAGTCAGTCTTACACACCTCCAAGCATGGAGGACGGGCCCACACGCACACACACGCTGCACACGATTGGCTCGGGAGCCGACACGAGGCACACTGTCACCGGCCTTAGCACCGGGTCCGGACTGCTGGACACACAGCACGCAGCTCACAGGACAGCTCACGAGGTGGCGCTATATAGTGGGGTTCTCAGGGACTGACACGGGAGAAGAAGGTGGAGCACAGGGACAGGGACACAGAACTCACGAACTGATATCCCACCCCGCGCCGGGGGCGGTGGCGCGCGCGAGCGCCGGGGTATTTGGACCCGCAGTCTGGCAGGCGCCAGGCCACAGACCCGCCGGCAGAGCCTTGAGTCGCATCCGCGATCCGCGCCGGCTCTCAGAAGAGATCCGGCGCGGCGCTGACCGCGTCCTCGGAGTGGACCATCGAGTACTCGATGGCTGTCCAGGAGAAGCGGTGCAGCTGCGGCATATTGCCGCAGTGCGGCAAATTGTCGCAGTGCGGCTGCGGCACTCCTGCTGCAGCGCGCGCGCGGTGGTGGTGAGGAGAGTGCGAGCCCTTGAGCTGCTGGGTCAATCCATCGCCGGCGCATGCGCCGGCCTTGAGGTGGTTCCCACAGCAGCTGGCCCAGGGGCTGTGGCCCTGCGCGGTCCGCGCAGGAAATGCCGAGCGTGCCGGGGTCCAGCCGGCCCCGCTCGGGGAGTTGAAGGCGGCCTCCGGTGGTGACAAGGGTCTCCGGAGAGGCCTCAACGCACCACGCGAGTGGCGGCCGCCACTCCGACGCGGCGCCGGTGGCGCTGCGCAGAATGCGCACCACCACCAAAAGTGCCCGCCCAAGCCACGGATTTGCGGAACAAGGTCGGGAAAAAGGACCGTACGTGGGGCAGCTCATCTGTTCCGACCCTGATCCGACCCTGTTCCGACCTTGTTCAAACCTAACAGGGTCGGATCAGGTCGGTGTTCACATAAGGTCGGATCAGGGTCGGATCAGGGTCGGAACAGGTCAGAGCCCTACTCGAGTCCCCGGGTACCTACCTAGGTACAGTGGGTTGCGGGCATTAAGAAAACAGGATTCCGCGGCACGCCGCCGTTTCTAAGCCTTTCCACAGCCCTCATCCACCCCACGCCGTGGTTTCTTAGCTCCGGGCGGGGCACTCAATCAAGCCAGAGCGTCGGCCCGAAGGATTTTTAGGTAAGAAGAGTGTTAAAGCTCGGTCCGCGAGGGCGATGCCAAGAGTCTGCCGCCGAGTCGGCTCTCTGGATGAGGGGAAGACGCACACACGCCTCCATCCACTGACCACTCCACTCAGAACACCGCAGACTTGAAAAGTGACAAGTGCGCTGCCGCAGGCCCAGGCGAAGAGAAATTTTGAGCTGCAGCTGGGGCTCCGGACCCGTTCACACTCGTGTCTGGCCTTTTCTCGGGGCCGCGCCTGCGGCGCCCCGTGGTTTCTTAGATTTTTGCGGAAATCGCTTGGTAGGGTTTCTTAATGCGACGTTTTTGGGGGCGCGCCGCCAGGCGCGTCCCCACTTTTGTATCACAGCTGCGAGGGCCAACCAAGGGATTCGGCGCGTCAAGTTAACTTGACCGCTCGTTCGGGCTTTGGGCCGCAGGCCGGCGCGCAGCGCCACGCCGCCAGGCGTCCGCCGGAGGCCCGCCGGAGGCTCTTCCTGCGGCCACATTCTGGCAAGATTCCGCCGCGCTCAGGCGCCCAGAGGATGCGTGCGCTGCGCTCAAACGTCGCGATTTGGCAATAGGCGCTCGAGCCGGCGCACAGCGGACGGGTGCGCCGCGCAGGGGGGGTCGGAGGGGTGCGAGAGGGGGCGTGGGTCAGGCGCGCACCGGCCGGCTCCGGGAGCGGCCGTCACGTCGAGGAGGGGGGCTGTCGGCGGCTCGAGCGGCGAGGCGTGCCACTCTGCTTCGCCGCCGACAGCCCCTCTTCCGAGCCGGCGCGTGGCGACGAGCCGCGGCCAGTGTCGCTGGTTCCTTTGGCGGCGCAGCGTTTATCCCCCCCACCCGCGCCCGCCCGCCCGACCGCCCGCCCGCCCTCAGGCCTTGCCCCTTCGCAGGCGCGGGAGCGCTCGCCGGCGAGCACCTCCTACCTCTCCTCGCCCGGCTGCTCCCTTGCCCCGTCGCCCGCCGCGCCCTCGCCCGGCCTCAAGAGCTTGGCGGCCTTTGTCCGCCAGCTCAAGGCGTGGGACGAGGCGTGCGCCGACGGCCGCTCGTCGTGCTGGTTCGAGACGGAGGGCGACCTCCCGCGGCTGGCCGGGGAGGCGCTGCTGGCCGAGGCGGCCGCGACGGGCGCGAGGCGGATCGCCTTTGACGCCGTCGCGGCGCGTCTCGAGGCGACCGCGGCGCCGCCGCCGCCTCTCGGCACCGCTTTGGCCGCGTGGCCCACGGGATGGGGCATCGAGGAGGGCAACTTCTGCGGGCTGGCGCACTGGGCTGTGGAGGTGTGGCACGCGGCCGGGTCGGTCGACGCGAGCCGGTGGCAGGTCGAGGCTGACGGAGGGCGCCTCTTCTTTGTGCGGGTCGCGGAAAAGGCCGCATAATCGCGCTCTCCGCCGAGGCCCGCCTCGGCGACGGCGCTCGCCGCGCAGCAGCAGGCCAGCAGCAGTAGCAGCAGCAGCAGCAGCACGTGATTCTTGACACATGATTACACTACACAGTCCTCCCTTCGGTTGTCGTTTCGACCCTGTTTTTTCTTCTATCGCAGCGCACTCGCATCTGTGAGCCTAGCGCAGCGCGAACTCGCCGTCTGAGCCTAGCGCAGCGCGAACTCGCTCTGAGCCTAGCGCAGCGCCTCGGAAAACACCATTTTGGCTCGCCAACAAGCCCTCCGCGCCCCCACACCGTTAGGATAATACATTTTCTTAATGCCCGCAACCCACTGTACCCTCTTTGTCAGCGTTCATCAGCGTATGTCAGCGCTTTCGCCGTAGCGTCAACACACCCACCGCCGGGGTGTGCGGCATGCAAGCCACCGCTGCGATCGAGGCGCTGCTCTCGCGGCTCGCGGCGTGCGTGGACGACGTGGTCGAAAGAGCGCGCTCCGGAGCCGAGCTCCGAGAGGGCGAGGCGGAGGGGATGTGCGCGGCGCTGGAGGAGCTGCTGGCACACCGCTTCAAGCGGCGCCAGTTCCTGCTTTTCAGCGTCCACCCGTGGTCGCTCGCGGAGCACGCCGAGGCCCTTTCGAGCGCCGCCGCCGTCCGCATCGGCGTCGCACGCCAGACGGGCTCGACAGACAGCGCGCGGCTCCGAGCGTGGCTCTACCTCCTCCTCAACCGGCGCGAGCTGGCGGCCGAGGTAGATGCGCTGCTCACCCCGGAGCTCTGCTCGCTCATGTACACGCGTGGCGCCGCGCTGCTCGGCTCCGCCGAGCGAGACCGCCTCGTCCGCACTCTCAAGCCTCTCGCGGCCCTGCGCTTCCGGCTCGGCGCCAGCGCTGGCCTGTGCCTCCCCGAGCAGCCGTCGGGATCGCTGGAGGCGCGCGACGGCTGCGCCAACACCACTGCCACCTTCACCCACCGTCCCACCACCCACCCACCCACCACCCACCACCACCACCCACCGCCCCACGCCGTTTGTTGTCACCCCAACCCTCCTGCCTGCCGGCAGGACGCGCGCCTGTCTGCTGCGGCGTGCGCCGCCGACGTCCCCACCGCCGACGCGGCCCTCGCCGCCGCCGCCGCCGCCGCAGTCGCGCGCGCAGAGGCTGCGGCGCATGCCGACGACTTGGGCGATTCGGCGGTGGCGAGAGCGGCACTGCTCTCTTATGAGACGCGCGGCCAGACCTAGGATGCGGGATACGCAGCGGTTTGGGGGCTCGCTCTCCCTTGCTCTCCCTCGCTCTCCCCTCTCGCCCCCATGCTATGCTCTAGCTCGCTCTCGCTCGCGCTCACTCGCTCCCCTCGTTCTGGACATTGTCCACTGTGCACGTTTGACATGTGACATGTGACATTGGACATCCTCGTACTCCGGCTAGCGGTCGAGAGGGAACACGTGCTCGGCTCTGCTCGGCTCTGCTCGGCTGTGTTCGTAGCCCGCGTGCTCACGCGGTGCGTCTGAGTGCACGGCGCGTGCCCGCCGCACCCGACTCCCGCCGTGTCTCTCCCCCTGGCGCAGGCTTGCGGCAGAGCCGGCCTCCGAGCCGCCATCGTACAGCGAGGCGCAGGCGGCGGCGCCCGCCGAGCAGCAGCAGTCCTCGCAGGCGGCGGGGCCCGCGCGTCGGTGGGGAGGCGCCGGCCGGGCGAGCGGCTCGTTTGCGGCGGTGGCGGAGCCGCGGGCGGCGGTGGCGGCGACGGGCGCGCGCGCGCGGCGCGTCGTCGCCTCGATCGGCGAGGCGGGCGGCGGCAAGGCAGGGGTGGGCAGGGCAGGCGTGGCCGGGGGAGGCGTGGCCGAGGGAGGTGGTTTCTCCTCGGGTGCGGGGAGGGAGGCGTGCGCGGGTGAGGCGTGCGCGGGCGGGGCGGGCGGGGCGGGTGCGGGCGGAGGCGACGCTCTGAGGGGGCGCGCCGCAAGAGTCGGTGCGGCGGCCGAGCCTGCGGCGGCCGAGCCTGCGGCGGCCGAGCCTGCGGCGGCGGAGCTTGCGGCGGGGAGTTGGAGTGAGGGGGCGGCAGCGCTGAGTTGGAGTGAGGGCATCGCTGCCGCCGCGGCGGAGGCTGACGCCGCCGATGGTGAGTCCGACGCTGCTCAAGGCGACGCGGGGCGTGCAGAGGTGCGGCAGGCGGCGGCGGCGGAGCGGGAGGAGGAGGCGGCAGAGGAGGAGGCGGCAGAGGAGGAGGCGGCAGAGTCGCTCGAGGCGGCGAGGGAGGCGCTGGGGGCGGGCGAGGCGGAGGGCGGGGCGGGCGAGGCGGTGGACTACCACGACGCGCACGAGCTGCGCTCCTCTGTGGACGAGTCGTCGTACCAAGACGCGTGCGAGCCGGACGAGGGCGAGGGCTAGCCGAGATCGCTAGCCGAGACTCACTAGCCGAGAGCAGCCGAGAGCAGCCGAGAGCAGCCGAGGGTGCCCGAGAGTACCGGAGATCACGCGAGATCACGCGAGATCACGCGAGATCACGCGAGATCACGCGACGCGAGCGAGCCGGACGAAGGCGAGCCGTCGAGCGACAGCCTCTTGAGATTGGGGTGGTTGGCTGGGGGGGCGGTGGGCGGAAAGTCCCCCCGTCAAGCACTGGGGGGGGGGTTCGGCATCTCCGAGCTTGAGCCTCCCCACGCCACGCGCCGGGAGCTCGCGCGCCTCGCCGGCCTGGGGAGATGTGGCGAGATGTGGGGGAGATGTGGCGAGATGTGGGGGAGATGTGGCGAGATGTGGGGGAGATGTGGGGAGGCGAAGAGCTCGCGCGCCTCGCCGGCCTGCGATTCCCCGAGATGAGCCGAGATTCGTCCGTGAGCGGAGGGCGCCGCGAGATTACCTGAGATGAGGGCGCCGGCCGCAGGCTTGAGCGAGATTGCCCGAGATTACCCGAGATTGCCCGATTACCCGAGATGGGACGCCGCCCGCAGGCTTGAGCGACGGCGGCTTCAGCGACGAGGGCGGCTCGGAGCCGGAGGATTGGGTCCCTAGAAGCGGAATACGTGTTCTTGTCTCCCAACCAGCACTCGCGAGGACACGCACTCCGCTGTACTCGGCCGCATCCCGCTGTGTTCAGCGTATTCGTAGCCCGTGTACTCGCGCGGTGCTCCTCGGAGCGAGACCGCACTCCCGCCCCTGACCTCGGTGTGTCCCATGACGCAGGACTGGGTTCCGCGGCCTCCGCCACTCGCGCCCACCGCGCAGCCGCCGCCGCCCGGCTCCGTCGCCGCGGCCCTCGCCGGTGCGCTCGCTTCCTCCCTCTCCATCGGCGCAGACCCGAGCAGCGGAGACGGCGGAGGGGGCGGCAATGGCGGCGGCAGCGGCGGCAACGGCGCCTCCGCCTCCGCCTCCGCCTCCGCCTCCGCCTCCGCCTCCGCCTCCGCCCTTGGCGGCGTGCTTGTGCGAGACTACTTTGACCCGACAGCAGCACCCGTCGACGAGTCTGGTTCGCCCGCGACCTGGGCTCGACCGGCCAGCAGGGGGAGTCTTGCCTGAGACCTTCTCGGCGCCACCGCCCCCGCAGGCTCCCCTTCTCTGAGCGGCACCGAGTCGCCGCGCGGCGACGGTGAGCGGGGCTCGCGCCGGCCGTCGCCCGGCACGCGAGGCGGCAGGCTCGTGGTGCGTTCGGCCGTGGTGCTCGGCGCCGAGATGAGGGAGGACGGGCGGCTCAAGCTGCACACGGTCTACCGGCTCGCTGCCCGGGTGGGGCCGTTCGAGTCGACGACGTACCGACGTTTCTCGGACTTTGTGCGGCCTGCCCCGTCCCCTCTTCCCTCGCCCTCGCCGCACCACCGAGCCCCTCTCCACTCAACCCCCCACACCCTCCCGCCCCTCCCCGCACCGCCGGCCCCTCTCACGCCACCGCTCGGCCGCGGCAGGTGAAGCTCCACGCGGCGCTCAAGCGCGAGATGCCACACTGCCGCATGCCGCGCTCGGCGCAGCGCATGCTCGACGCGCGGCTGCGGCCGACGGCGTGGCCCGTCGCCGTCTCGGACGCGTCCATGGTATGTCCACGACATGTCCGAGACATGTCCCATAGGCGGGCCCGTCGCCGTCGGCGTTGGAGAAGGCTCTCGGCCCAAAGGCGTCCAAGGCGAGACTAGCCGAGAAGCACCGAGACCTAGCCGAGACGCAACCGAGACGGACCGGAGACCTAGCCGAGACCTAGCCGAGACCTAGCCGAGAGCCTCCGAGGCTGTTTGGCCGCTGGACGAGCGGGCCGGGCCTTGTGCCACGTCGCGTGCACCGCTCCGTGCCGCGTGCAGGCGCTCGGTCCGCTCGAGAAGACGCTCCGGCCGCCTGGGCCCGAGGTGCGGTTGCGGCTGCTGCAGCGCTACTGCGAGGACCTGGTCACGCTGCCGGAGCTGGCGCAGGCGGAGGCGACACTCGCCTTCTTCTGGCCCTCGAGCGCGCTCGGCGACGGCGCGCTCGTCGCGCCCGACGGCTCGAAGGCTGCGATGACCTGAGCCGGGGGCGAGTCCCAAGTCTCAAAAGTATCATACCTCACCCGCGTGTATGAACATGCACATGTCATGTGCATGCATGTGCATGTGTTTTCTGAAGACAACGTGAACGTCTTGACCAACGACCCCGGCCCCTCTCATAGCCGCAGCCGTAGCCGCAGCCCCAACTCTTGCCGCTCTTCCGTGTCGGGTTGTGACGAGGGGTGAGGGGACACGGATTGAAGATCCCTCACACCAAGATCGTGCAGGGCGGGGACACATGTCCCTAAATCCCATCTCGTCTCAGAGTTTGCCCGTTTTATTTATTTATTTGACCTCCTTTCACCTCCTGCTCTCCTATGCCACGTGGCTGTGTGTGTTTGGGTTTCTATGTTTGCGATTTGGATTTTGGATTTTCCATTGCACTTTGTTTATTTATTTGACCAACGAGATCTCAAGCATCAACGTGTTGTCGTTGAGGATTGTTGGCTCAGGATTTCAACGTTAGTTAGGCAACCCAGCCTAATATGTACAACAATCAATAAACAATATAAACAATATATATACGTCCCAAACTCCCACAGTCACACACACACACGCACGACTCTCATGAGACTCACATATCCCCCCCGCCCCCGGACCGCCGCCCTTGCAAAAGCCTACTCAAGAACCGGTACACGAGACGAAGAGTCGCCCGGGCCGGCCGATACTTACGGGGCGCGACCTCAGACCGCGGGCGAGATTTCCGGCGGCAGCGACCCCGTCGCGGCCTCGAACGTCGCCGACAGCGTGCCCTGCACACCATGCCAGCTGGCGCGATCTAGGCTCGTGCTCATGAAGAGCGCGCCTAAGGTAAGGTAAGGGTAAGGTAAACTTCTCCACACACACGAGGTGGTGGGGCAAGGGGGGCGACCCTCGCGTCTCCACGTCTAGACGACAGGAGCCCCACGGCATTACAAGTGCAAGGCCCAGTGCGCGTGGGTGCGCCTTCGATGTTGGCGTTATTGAAGAACGAAACGCCCGTGAAGACGGTGAACTGGAAGCTGGAGGACAAGAGTGACGCGAAAGTAAAGTCGGGACTGTCGAGCTTCGCTTCGTCAAACACCGCACCCTCCATCCTAGCGTGGCGGAACGAGGCGCCTTTGCCGTGCGATTTCATGAACGAGACGGATTTCAGCTCGGCGCCATCGAACACCGCGCACTCGATGTTCATGTCCTGAAGAATGGCGCCCTCAAAGCTGGCGTTCCGCAAGTCCGCGTTCCTCAGATCCTTTTGCGGGCACGCCGAAGCAACGTCCTCACCTGGCTTGACGTATTGACAGCAGGGGCAGTCCTTATCGGGTGCCGCATAGCAGCCCGCCTGCCTGCGAATCAGGTTCGTTGACGTCGGTGCCCTTGCGCCACTGCTGGGAAGCTTGTTGCTCGCGACGCGAGCGGGCGACGACAACCACGACGGGGCGACCGCACTCTGCCCCGGCGGCGCACTCGCGCCCTGCGCCGTCTCCTTAACCTGGCAGATGTGATTGGACGATCGGCGGATAGACCCGATCGGTTGCGACAACAGCTCGCATCGGCTGTTTCCGAGGCTGTCCTTTGCAGTTATCGACCACTCGTACGCCGTGCACGAGTGGTCGGTGAGGCAAAGCTCCTCGCACTCCGGCCTGGTATGGACCCACAGGGAGCGTGCGGCCCGCCAGGACCCGACCTCCTTGCATATCCCGAACTCGTCCGCGGCGGTCGGCACGTTGACAAAATGCCCCGACGCGAAGTACTGCGCGCACAGGGCGAAAACCATCGACGTGACACAGCCCTTGTTCTCCAGCGAGAGGAGGTGCTAAGAGCGCCACAGGTCGAAGATCGAGGAACGCCACAGTCAATTCGATTTTCTTGATTTTTGTTCGGAACGGGACTCGGGGGTTGCCCAGTCCTTCATGGGTGACACATGCACGCTGGCAATCGCGATGCCGCGCGTCAGAAGTCATCTAGCTCGGTGGCGTTCTGCATCTCCTCCTGCCCTAGCTCGTCCATGTACGCGTACTGTAGGTTGCTCTTTGTCGGCGACCAGAGGTAGCACACCGCGAGCAGCACCGCAAAGTAGAGCGCGTGCCAAAAGGCATCGAAGACCCACAGCGTCGCCCAGCTCTCGTCGAGGGGGTCGCCCGCGAGTGCGCCCAGCTGCCAAGTGATCATCGCGGCCGAGAGCAGCGCCTGCGGCCAGGGGATTGCAGACGGGGCGGTCGGCGCTGCGGGCTGCGGGCGGGGGAACTCTGGCGCTTCTTGGCTGGTGCGGTGGCGTGTGGCGGTGGTGTGTGGCGATGGTGTGTGGGGTGGTGGCGGTGGCGTGTGGCGGTGGTGTGCCGTCCTCCAAGGCGTGTGCACGACCGACCGACTGGCGACTGGCTGGCGCGGTGGGGCGGCGCGGCACCGACGCGAGCAGCACATGAGAGAAACGGCGGTAGAGCGTGAGCTTGGCATGCTGGCGGCGCGCAGACAGCCTACGTGCTGAGTGCACCGAAGTCAGGGCGGGGCTGCGGCATCGTGCAGCGTACTCAGAGCAGCGCGTGAGTACGAGGGGGTACGAGTGCGGTTGAGTGCAGCGGAGAGGTTGTCCTCTCGAGCGCGAGTTGGAGTACAAGAATGCGTGTTCCGCTTCTAGGGGCAGAGAGCTGGCCGATGGTGGCGGTGAGGGCGCCAAAGAGCCACCTACTCTCGGGCAAGTCTCGGCTGAATCTCGGGCCACTCTCAGGCGAAGGGCGCCAAAGCGCCACCAGTAAAAGAGGACGTCGAGCACAAAGACGGGGAGGATGCCTAATTCATTGACGAATGAACTGGTTCATTCATTAGTATCGGGTGCGTTTGGTGGTTGCGGGTGCGGGTGCGGGTGCGGGTGCGGGTGCGGTGGCGGGTGGGGGGTGGGGGGTGGGGGTGGGGGTGGGGGTGGGGGTGGGGATCGGTGCGGGTGCGGGTGCGGGTGCGGGTGTGGGTGCGGGCGCGGCGGCGCCGAGGAGTCGTAGCGGCGCCGACGCCTCCGAGAGCTGAGAGACGTTGGCCGCGATGTCGTGCAGCGCGGACGCGACGCCATAGGCGATGCCGAGTGCGCAGACGCGCGAGGCGGTGGCGCCTAGTTGGCCACGGATGCTGCGCAGTCATGGGCGAGGTGCTGTCTGTGGGAGGACACCCTTGTGCTTGTACTTGTACCTTAGGCACTTGCACTTGCACTTGTACTTGTGCGCGTCTGTGTGTTGCTCCATGTGGCGGCCGTCCCTCCGCCTCGCTAGCGGGCCTCCTGAAAGCCACGGTGTCCGGACGCGCCTGTGCTGTTCAGTGTCCAGACGTGCCTGCGCTGTCCAGCTGTTCTGCTCTTCTATCGGTGTGCTCATCTATCGGTGTGGCGCCGAGGGTCGGTCGCACGACGCCGTAGCCCAGGCAGACGACGAGGAGGAGGAGGCGGGAGACCTGCGGGAAGGTCCCGAGAGAGAGAGAAGGGTCCGGGGGCGAGGGAGGGAGGCGGCTGCCCAGGGCGGAAGGAGTGAGTGGGGCGGGCGGAGTGAGAGGAGCGCGGGCGGGGGGCGGGGCGGGGCGGGGCGGGCGTGGGGTGGGGTGGGGTGGGGTGGGGGGGTGGGGGGGCGGTGCGGTTAGAGGCGTGAGAGGGCGAGGGCCGTGTGGCGGCGAGGTCGGCCGAGATGGAGAGAGAGAGAAGAGAGCGAGAGAGGCGTGTTAGGTGAGGGACTTGAGGCGAGAGAGGCGCGACAGGGCTGTGTGTCAGCCGCGCGCGCGGCGCCGTCTTTTTGGCGGTCGAGGCGAGCACGCCGAGCACGATCGGGACGACGCCGCGCGAGCCGCCGGCGTTGAAGAGGTCGTAGTCACGGTACCAGGTGACCGCCTCGAGCCAGCCAAGCAGAATGACACCGCCGATGTAGACCTGCAGGGGTCACACCAGTCCTCGCTACGCCATGCGGCCAGGCGAGATCAACCTCGAGAGCCTCGATACGTTACCTGCAGCGGCAGCAGCAGCGAGCGGTGCCGCACGCACAGCCCGACCCAGAGAGCCAGAAGCGCGGAGTAGAGGGCGGCCATGGCGCCGAAGAAGGGGAGGAAGGCGTACAGCTCCGCCGGGAGGTAGCCGTGCGGGTTGAGCCACGCGGTCGACCCAGAAACAAGCACGCTGCCCGTCGAGGGCGCGCAGCTCGCCAGCAGCAGATAGTGCACGCCCGAGCGTGACACGCGCACGGTCGCGTCGACGGCGCCGGTGGCCTCCGGGCCGCGGAAGGGAACGTCGCGCACCCACACTCCCGGCTGCTGCTCGTCGGCCTCGCCATCGCCGCGAACGACCAACATACCCGCACGACGGCAGGCGCCGGCCGCGGCGGCGCGGTCGGTGCAGCACAACGCACGCCGCCCGTCGCTGTCTGTCGTGCCGAGGAGACTCAGCTCCGACGAGTGAAAGAACAGGAGCTGCACCAGCCCTGGCCCCGCCGCGGCCGGCCGCTCGAACCTCAGCGACAGCCGCACCTCCGCCACGCTGTCGACGGTCCGCGAGGGCGCCTCGGCCACGGTCCACATGCCGACGCGGCGCGCCCAGATGACATTGGGGTCGAGCGCTTCCTGTGCGTACACGTAGACGTTCGCGGGAGGAGCTAGCAGAGGGAGGCTGAGCATATGTACATTTTTGGGGCGTCAGGCAAATGAAGAAAAACGAGGCCGAGATCGGTAACCAGTAAACTTTTTGCTACAGAATTGGGAGATCCAGGCACTGAGCGAGGCTACAGCGTAGAACACACACACGTCAGGTCAGGATGCCTAGCCGTGATGGCCATGCACACCCATGTGTGTGTGTGTGTACACTCTCACACTCACTCACGCACCCATGCTTGGACTCGCGCAACCCCCCCTCTGTCTGCGGTGCTAAGGAGGGGCACGCCCCAACACGACGCCACAGATCAAACAGAGCCGCCGAGCAAGGACATGGGACTAATAGCGCCATACACACATAGCGCGGGGGAATGGCGGGTGGGAGAAACCCGCGGCGCCTCTGGGCGCTGCCCGGGGCGAGGCGCAGTAGCGCTCCGCCCGGACTCGCTTCGCCGTTTTTGGCGACCACGAACTTTCTTCTCGACCTTCGGTAAAATTTGTCGACGTTCAATTGCCGCCGCTGAGAAACTCGTGAATAAGTTCTCTACTCACCGTGGCCAGAAAGCCTGCGTCCCATCCACAAGAAGATGGCCACAGTGCGGCTGCATCCGGACGCAGTGTCGTTTATGGCCGTCTGCGGCGACCTGCTCCTCTCTCATGTCGCGATGAATCAGCACCTCCTATCCAACGCCCACAACACGTCGCTCGACAGCACCTCTAGGCTGCTGTTCTCCGTTCTCGACGGCAACGATCAAGTCGTGGCGGCGGTAGTGGTGGCACAGGTTATGAACCGCCAAAGCTTTGTCGCAGCAAACATCGCCGGTGCGCTCAGCCCAGACGCCGCCAAGGCTGTCGTGCAATCCGCCCGCGAGGAGAATGCATCCCTCGTCTCCCGCGTCTCCATGAGCATGGGTGGCCCTGCGTCACGTCAAGCCTTTGCGTCGGCTTTCCTCGACGCGTTCCCGGGCGTGACCGCCACGCCAGGCCTCTCGGCGATTGCCATGGAGCTGCGAGGGGATTGCGCCTTGGCATCCGCGGCACCGGGGGGCACGCTCCAGCGGGTGGTGAGTGGAGGTGACTCGACGGCCGGTGCGCTCACAACGGACCTGTGTGTGTGCTCGTCGGCTCTGCTCGACTGCTTGGCGGCGTGGAACGTCGAGTTCGCTCGCGACGCCCTTGGCAGCGTATCGGCGCCGCCCAGCCTCGACGAGTGCCGTGAGACGCTGCGAGAGGGCCCTCTCTCGCGCGGCGACTTGTACGTCTGGCATGTCGAGGGCGAAGGTGTGGTCTCCATGGCCTGCGTGGGGCGTCGACTCCTCGAGATTGGCGTCTCGCTGAGCCTCGTGTACACGCCGCCCGAGCGCCGCTGCAACGGATACGCGGGGCAGCTCCTGGCGGCGATGTGCTCTGCGCTCTCTGCGCAGGGCAAGCGGGTCTTCCTGCTGGCCGACGCAAGCAGCAGGTTTGGCACGGTGCGGTTGTATGAGAGGCTCGGGTTCTCGAACGATGGTGAGTACGGCGATATACGCTTCACGAGAGAGGCACAGGCGTGAGCAAGCGCGACATCACAAGGAGCATCGGGTCACTTGAGTGCGCCGACATGAATTTGTTTCACCTGCACGCGACATTCTCGTTTACTCTGCCGCTGTGTGTTAGTGCCAGTGGCCAGTGCGCGCCAGTCCCGGAAAGGAAAGGAAAGAAAACAGACAACGCAAACGAGGGATGGAAAAGAAAAAGAAAGAAAACAGACAACCCTCAACCGAAGGGCACAAGGGAGAGGGATGGGATGGTGTGTACCGCGACCGTGCCTCTGTTATGTGTTATACTCACCTCCACACGTCACAGTCCTGCGGAGCTCACTGTAGTCTGTACGGCCGGTACATACAGCTGTACGGTCCCAAACGAAATGCAGGTCCTACTGCACCCATGGGTACCACATGTTGTGCGCGCGGCAGATGGACAGCGCGTTCGGGTTGTTCTGCGGCCGGCGGACCTATTTTCGTTTCAGGCCGGCGGACGGCGGACTAGCGGGCGGGCGGAAGCTTACGATACACGGAGTCTCTCTCTCTCTCCCTCTCTCTCTCTCTCTCTCTCTCTCTCTCTCTCTCTCTCTCTCTCTCTCTCTCTCGTTTGCCAACAACAACATACCTGTTAAAACAACTTCCCTCCAGACTGAGAGAGAGAGACTTCTTTCAGAGACTTCTTGAAATTTCTTTCTTTCCCTCCAGCCTAACTAACGACACAGAAGTAAAGCCCGCTCGCTCGTTTTACTTCGTTCGCGCTCGCTCGCTTCCAGATTGCGGCGGCACTGCCGCGCTGCATGCCATGCCCATGATGAGCATTGGCCATGGACGCTGATCACTATCAGTACGATCAGTGGCGCAGCATGCTCGCTCAAGGCGTCGGTCGCGACGTGGTGCGCTTTCGTCGCCGCTAGAATTCTGCATCGGCGGCGGCGTCAGACCTCACTCAGACGTGGACCCTGCGTGGACCTGTGGCTGTGCTTAGGAAACGTGCCGCTGTACGGTGCTCAGCGGACCCGGCCCGCCTGAACATCTTGCCCGTCCTCCAATCCCGTGTTCGTCCCACGCAGGCATCTTCAACCACACGTGCTTCGTCGTCCCATGGGCGCGCCGAAGCGGTGCGCCTGGCGCCGCCCTCCCTCCAAACCCGTTTCTCACAGAGCGGAAATTTTTTTACTCAGAGTCGTGCGAGGCGGGTGCTGCGTAAATTTCTTTTACTCAGAGGCGTGCGAGGCGGGTGCGTAAAATTCTTTTACTCAGAGTTTGGTTTTGGCGGCCGCGGAACCAATGTTCACCCTCTCCGCTATCGCCGGCGCGCTCGGTGCGACGCACGCGTGAGCCGCACGCAGCACACCGCACACACACTGCCCGCCTCCTGCTCACTCAGCCACCTCGTCCCTCCACAGAGCTCACCGACAGCTCCTTCGACGAAGCCGTCTTCAAGGGAGGCAAGTCCGCCTTCATCAAGTTTCTCGCGCCCTGGTGAGGGCACTGTAAGAGCATGAAGCCCGCCTGGGACTCTCTTGCTCAGTCATACAAGAGCAGCGACAAGGTCGTCATAGCCGACGTCGACTGTACGGCCGACAACGCCAAGGCGCTCTGCGAACGCTTTGGCGTCGAGGGCTTCCCGACGATCAAGTATTTCAACCCGCCGGACGAGGAGGGCGAGGACTACAGCGGGGGTCGCGATCTGGACGCCCTCAAGGCCTTTGCCGCGACGCTCGGCCCGGGCTGCTCCGCCGCCATGCTCGACAAGTGCACCGACGAGGAGAAGGTGGAGCTCGAGGAGGTGATGGCGCTGCCGGAGGAGGAGCGGATGAAGCAGATCGAGGTCGCTCACCGGACTTGGCAGAAAAAGTTCGAGTTATATGTGTACACACTGTCACTGAAAAGTGAAAAATGAATCATAGGGGCTCAAGGCCAAGATCAAGGCCAAGGAGGCGGAGCACGAGAAGTTCGTCGAGGGGCTGCAGGCGCAGTACGAAACGTCGCAGAAGGGCGTCGAGACGCTCAAGAAGGAGGTGCGCTGCAAGCAAGCGCCGCTCCCCACCGCCAAGGCACCGATGACAGGAGGCGCTGCCTCCGGCGCAGGTTGCGCCGAAGATGAAGCTCCTCAAGGCGGCCGCGGCGCCCAAGCCTGCCGCGACTGCCAAGGACGAGGCCAGCAGCCGAAGCCATCCTCTCCTTCCCCCTTTCACTCCCTCACCCACCCCTCCCCCCTCCCGCCGTTGCCGCTGCAGGTCTAGAGCGCCGCGTCCCGATCGCACCCTCATTCTTGAGGTAACCCTCATCCTTCGAGCCACCCGCCGTACCTCCAAGATGACGCCGACGTGCCGAACTCCCCGCTCGAGGGGATGGCACGTAGGCTGAGACTAAAGAAGGGGCGGAGGGTCGAGACTTGTCTGCGGCACGCCCACGCGGGGGGGGCGGGCCTCGGGGTGGGGGGCGTTAAACGGCTCTCGTTTTTAAATATCTACTTTTTCGTGGTGCGGCCCCTATAAGCCCCCGCCCCCACGCGCCCACGGCCTCTCCACGCGGCTTGCTGGCAATCCGTGGCATGCGCTGCTGGCAGAGTGCGCGTATAGCGAGAGAGGTGGAGAGCACGACGTGCCACGACGAGAGCACTGAGCAGAGGCCAGGCAGCACCACAGCACGCGCAACAGGCGGGGACACGCGATCGATCGACTCCCGAAGCAGGCCTCATTTGGGGGGTTGGGGGGCAGGATTGCGTGTCGTCTCAGGTCGGCCGCTGACCTGACTCCTGAGAGCCGGCCGTCAGGGCTGAGCGCACAGACTAAGAGCAAGTAGACAACCCTGCGGGCTAGCCACTACTTGTGCCTCTCGCACACGCGCCCTCCCTGCCACCCGTGTTGTGCGAGACCGGCCCGCTTACTGAAGCTCCTCACATGAATACGTTCTGCTTTGGCTCCTCCGTCCGGAAGCGAACCTACGGGCGCTTCATCGCGTCAAGTTCACGTCCAACGGCTCAGGCAAGGCAGGGGCGCGCGCACCATGAAATGGTTGAAGTACGAGCCCTGGTGCATCGATGGCGGCAGCTCGGGCGGGATTTCGAAGCCGGCGGCGGCAAATCCCGAATAGTCTTGCAGGTCGCGGTCGAAGTATTCTCCGGCGCCAATCGCTGCCGACGGGAAAGGCAGCCGCTCCTACGCAGGGCTGTGTCGCCTCGTTTGGCTTGTGCGCGAAAGTTCTTGGACCAGCGGGAACCCGCACATGGATCTGCAGTGCCTTAGTGACTGCCGCCGCCTCCGTGAGCCGCCTGGCGTACAAGCTAGGGAGTGAAGGCCCGCCACGCTCCCATGAAAACTCGTTTTTTGGCGAAGCACCGCAAATCCGACGTCGTCTGCAGCGCGCCATCCGCCGACGTCTCTTTGCTCGAGAGGTAGGGGGTCGCCGACGTAATAAAGGCTGGGCTTGACACCGCGGTGCGGTGCTTTCTCGCTGAAGGACGCGGCGAGCCAGCCACCCATTTTCTTGGCAGGACAACGAGCGGTGCTACCTCGCCCTCTTCCCGCCGCTGCTGCTTTGCGCGCACCTGCACGAGGAGGGGGGGAAAGGGGTGCACAAATGTTCGCGTGCCGCTGACGCAAGTGGCTACCCGTAAGAGAACATGGATGCAGTCACCTTGCACTCGAGGGGCGTGTCGGCAAAGTAGGGGATGCGAGGTTCGTCCTCATGCTCCGAAAGCACCCCTTCACTTTGCGTGGTCGGAGCGTAGCGGAGTGGGCCCCGAGTTTGAAAAGGGCGACGGACGCTTGCGTCCTAGCCTCCAACAACGCCTCCCCGGCGCAGAGGGGCCCCCGGAGGGATGCACAACCGCTCCACGCCACGCCGCTTGCGGCGGTCCTCTTCCCAGCTCCGCTGGCGCGCGGCGTTATTTTCTTTTGGAAACATCCAGAGGGGGAAAGCCATCACTGACCGCCAAGGTCTGACCGCCCGCCTCTCTCCTCCCACCCACGCGCGGGCGCGGGGCGGGCGGGCAGAGCGCGCGGCTGCGCGCCTGGGCGGGCGTCCGCGCCACCCGCCCCCGGCCCGGCCCGCCGCGTCCGCGCCCGCCCGCGACCCCCCGCAAGCGCGCGCGCGCGCAGGCGACGCGTTCCTTCACCCGTCCGCCCCTCTCCCCCCGCAGGACAGCCATGCAGATCTTCGTCAAGACGCTGACCGGCAAGACCATCACGCTCGAGGTCGAGCCGTCCGACTCGATCGACAACGTCAAGGCCAAGATCCAGGACAAGGAGGGCATCCCGCCCGACCAGCAGCGCCTCATCTTCGCGGGCAAGCAGCTCGAGGACGGCCGCACCCTCTCGGACTACAACATCCAGAAGGAGTCGACGCTGCACCTGGTGCTCCGCCTGCGCGGCGGCATGCAGATCTTCGTCAAGACGCTGACCGGCAAGACCATCACGCTCGAGGTCGAGCCGTCCGACTCGATCGACAACGTCAAGGCCAAGATCCAGGACAAGGAGGGCATCCCGCCCGACCAGCAGCGCCTCATCTTCGCGGGCAAGCAGCTCGAGGACGGCCGCACCCTCTCGGACTACAACATCCAGAAGGAGTCGACGCTGCACCTGGTGCTCCGCCTGCGCGGCGGCGCGTGAGCGCGCTCCCGCCCCTCTCCTCTGCCCATTGATCAATGGGCTTTGTTGACCGCCAGGCCGGAAGAGCGGAAGTGCCCGCCCCTCATAGTTGGGCGAGCGTGACTGGTGCGGCGATCAACCGAATGGGCTATGGCCGCTGTGAAGTGGGCTTGTTTCTTTTATTGTGAAGACAATGACAAAGCAGTGTGCAGTGAACACACGAGGGCGTTCCTGCCTAATCCTGCTTCCTGTTCCTCTCTTCCCTCTTTCTCGTCTTAGAGATAGAGTTAGACGTTAGAGTAAAGAGAACATAGAAGACCCTGCCCACATTGGCAATGCGGCACACATACACATTGGCGCGCGAGCCGCGACGGGGCGGCAACACGCGGCCGACTACACGGTAAGGCATACGGACCTTGCAGAAAACCTTTTCCTTCTAAGCAGGGCTACACAATGACCCTATAGTGTGTGGGTGTTCCTGGCGAGTTGTGATGAGTAGAATTAGACTAGCCAATACTATTTTGAAGTTCATATATGAAAATACCAACTTGCCTATGTGCACGTCTCCGCCGCGGCGGCCCGGAGGCGGCCCGGCGGAGCGGTCAGAGCAGCACTGCGCGGGCCGGCGATCGACTCTCGACTATAGTACGGGCTCTATTGAATGGCCTCAAGGTGCTCTCTAGGGCTGCCCTATTCCGCTCGCCCGGCTACGTCGCCGGGCTTCGAAGGAAAAGGTTTCGCTCGGCACGGCGTCGGAGAGCAAACTTCGACGTTCGTCCTATTTGTGGAAGCTGGACGCACGTAGGCAAGTGGCCCATGACCAGGCGGGCTGCTGCTCAGAATCTGGGCCGTCGGCGCTCGCTCTCGCGCTCTTCATAACGGCGTTGCCCCCTCCCTCCCGCGCCGACGTTGGGCAGCCCGACCACGACAACGTCAGCACCGCTGGCCTGCAACTCGAGGCGCCTTTGAATGAGCACGAGCCGGTGCGCGGCGGCGGCGCGGGTGATGCAGCCCAAGGTGACGGCGACGGCAGAGGGGGCGGCGCCGGCGGCGGAGGAGGCGGCAGCGGCGGCGATGGCCGCGGGGCCGGCCCGCCCGCCTTTGCTGCTGGTGCTGTGGGCATCATCACAGCTCAGCGGCGGTGTGCGACCAGGGCCAGTGGTAGACTTTCGACGCGGTGAGGCTGCTCTCTGAGCAATGACACTAGCAAGAGCATCATGTGTGTCATCGGAGTCACTTGTATTACGATACCACCACGCCGCCACGCTCGCAAGGGCCGCCCAAGCGCCTAAGCACCCTAAGCACCCCCCCGCTTAGGCCGCTTAGGCGCTTAGGCGAGTGACGGCCGGCTGCCCGGGGCCTGGCGTGCCTCCGCCGTGGGCTGAGCGCCCGGGAGAGCCACTCTGCAAGTGGTGTGCGAGCGTGTAGCCTTTAGCGTGCAGTCGGCCACGCGAGTGCGGAAGGAGACGACGGAACCACAGCCGAGCACTCAAAAGGTTGTGTGTTGTGTGAGAGAGGCGTCTCAGCACTCAGGCCGCCACGCTCCACGCACCACGAACGGCTCTCCCAGTCTCGCGACGCACGGCACTTCGCCACATACGACATACCTCATACGCGAGCGAGCGAGCGAGCTCCACGTACCACGTCCACGAGCTCACACACGCCACGCAAAAAAATCAACAGTGCTGAGCGGAGACAGTGCACTCGCGGTGGCGCACGCTCACATCCGTCTCTGCTGCTTGGCACTGCGGGGCGCCTCGCCCTCCTCGTGTTGCTCCTCTCCGGCGCCGCCGCCGCCGAGGGCCGCCAGATCGAGGCCGAGCGTGTCCTGTAGCACGTGCCGCGCGGCGAGGTCCGAGAAACGGCGGCCGAGCTCCAACAGCCGCGCGCTCGCCGCTCGCCGCTCTCGCTCGTCGCGTCCGAGCGCGCCGAGGGTACGCTGGAGGTCGCGCGCCGCCCGCGCTGCGCGCACCGCACTCCCCGCCGCCTCCTCCTGCGCGGCCTGCAGCCTCTGCCCGAGCACGTGTGCGCCCGCCGGCCCGAGGCTGCCTGCTCACAGGCCGCGCGTGTGGAGAGGCGCTGAGTTCGTTCACGCACCCGCTTGCCCGCCATAGCGAGGCTGCCCGTGAGGAGTGCTGTCAGCCTAGCCGGCTCGCGGCTCGCCGCGCCTCCGAGGGCGCGGAGCAGCGGCGACGCCGCAGACTCGAGCAGGACACGCAGCAGTGCGGGCGGGTCCACAGCCTATCGCACGAGAAGACCCGAGATGACCCGCGATGAGCCGAGAGTACCCGAGATTGACCACAGCGGCGCGGGCGCGTCCGCCGTCGCCACGCCGTCGCCGCCCGCCTCTGCGTTGGCGACGGCCAGCAGGCGAACCATGAGTGCCTCCTCGTCGTCTTCGATCGCCTCCACCTCCTCCGCCTCCGCCTCCGCCTCCTCCGCTGCCTCCTCCGCCTCCCCCGCCGCCTCCTCCTGCGCAGCCACCGCCGCCTCGCCCTCTCCGCCGCTGCGCGGCGGCGACATGCCTGCGGCCAGCCTCAGCAGCCGCACCTAATCAACGAATGAGTTGGTCTATTCAAGAGACTCGGCCCAATCGCCCGCGGCCAGCAACCGTGCCTCCTCGGCGCGCGTCGCGGCCTCAAACGCGCTCCGCAGCACCAGCGCGGCCACTGAGCCCCCCCTCCCCCCCTCACCCAAGGGCCCGCCCTCGTCGGCAGCGGTGGCGGGAGCAGCAGCGGGAGCGGTGCCAGATCGCTGTCCGAGGAGCCTAACACCCGAGATCACCCGAGATTACCCGAGATTACCCGAGGAGCCTAGCACCCGGTCTGGGTCTGACCATGGTTGGGTGCAGCGGTGATCTCGGGTCATCTCGGGTCATCTTGGGTAATCTCCCGGCCACGCCGGGGTACAGCCGACCAGGGTTTGGAAAACAGGGAAGGTAGGGGAGGCCCTCCGAGCGCTCGTCGGAGACAAGGTGCGTGCGGGTCTCTTCCGCATCTCCGCATATCTAGGTCGAGGTAGCTGCTGAGTCGAGCTGCGCCACCAGTAGTTGACAGCGAGCGTCACCTCCTCCTCCCCCTCGCCTAGGAATAAGTGGATGGATGAGTTCAGCAGCAGGCGATGGGTAGCGTCCCCTCCTTCTCCCCCCCCTCGCCGCCAGAGTCGACGCGGTGCCACCAGCCCGCGGGCAAGTGCGCAGCCTACTCTCGTGGAGGGGACATACCACTCACCCACCCCCGCCCCACCAAACCACATGAGGTGTGAGCTGCCTAGTTTGTGTGTGTGTGCGTGCGTGCGTGCGTGCGTGTGCGTGTGTGCGTGTGTGCGTGCGTGCGTGCGTGCGTGCGTGTGTGTGTGCGTGCGTGTGTGTGTGCGTGCGTGCGTGCGTGCGTGCGTGTGTGTGTGTGTGTGTGTGTGTGTGTGTGTGTGTGTGTGTGTGTGGCGCTAGTGAGCAGCCTCCCCCGCCCGCAGCCGCAGGTGCAACGCGTCCCCGCGCCGCACCGCCTCCTCAAAGGTCGCGTCGAGCGCATTTGCGTCGAGCCGCGCCTACGACACCGAGACACCGCGGCGGTGAAAACAGAGAGCCGCGCCTCTCCTCGCGTGACTGCCCAGCCGCCGCCGGCTGGCGTCTGTGTGTCAGTGTGTCAGTGTGTCAGTGTGATCCGAGTGTAACCGCCTCTGCGTCGCCCAGAGGCCGGACAGCTGTCTCGCCTCTCTATCCGTCTACCTGTCGAGGCCGCGCGTGATTGTCCCGGCGGCAAGTCCGGTGTGCCGCTGTGTTCGGACTGTGCCTCGCCCTGTGCCTCCTCGCCCACCAACTACGTGTCCCTCTCTTCTCAGCCGCACGTGGTTGGCCGACGGGCCGTGCGCCTAGGTCGCGAGGGCACACGCCGTGAGGACATCAGAGTACAGAGACTCTGCCAGAGTGAGGGCGTGGCTATATGTCGTGCAGTGTGTTCAGAGCATCGAGTGCACGAGCGCTACGAGCACAGCTGGGTACAGCCGAGTCAATACGGCCGCATCTTGGCTCCGAGAGCTGGGGAGATGTGGGTCTCTACTCCGCATCTAGGCTCGCGCGCCGCGCGCGGACGGAGCTGTCGCGTCGCGTGTGGAGGCAGCAGCGCGAGCTGCTTGCACCCGCGCACCACCACCAACAAGCCTTCATCGAACGACACCTCATACTCAGCTCAACTCATCGAGGCCTGAGACAATGGGCAGCAGGCGTGCCGTCGGCGCAGTCGTAGTGCATCGACGAGCGGCCACCGCCGACGCAGACCCAGAGGTGCGCCGCCGGCCGCGAGCCCGTCGCCGCCGCTGCGTCGACCACCCAGCGCGGCGGCGGAGCGTCGGCGGCGAGCCGAGGCAGCAGCGAGAGCGGACATTGCGCGAGGTGCAGTCGCAGCGCCGAAGGTCGGCGCCGCCACGGCGCGCCTGGGCTCGCCTGCAAGATCTGGCCCAAGAAGGAATCGAGACGCATCGTGAGCGTCTCGTGCGCCTCGAGGGTGCCGTCCAACACGCCGTGCTCCGAGGCAGACACCTCGACGGCGGTGCGAGGGTGAGCGGACCGCAGGTAGTCCAGGTCCCACCGCTCGCGTAGCGAGGCGGCGAGGCCGCGGACGGACGGGTCGTCCACGACGGAAGCGGCGCACATATACACAAGGGTGCGGCTTGTGCGCGCATGAACTAAAAAACCAAAGCTAAAAAGCAAAAAACTCTGAGCGCGGTACTAACCCTCGGAGAACTGTGTTTACTTTAAGGCCCTTGCCCTGCGAACGCGCACCCCCGGGGCTAGGGCTTTCTTGCCCGCAACCCGATCCCGATCATCCGGCCCGCTGGGTGCGCTTCTGAGCTCCCCGGCCCTGGATGTGAGGCTAATGATTGCACTCCAAGTGCTCCAAGTGCTCCAAACTTCCTGCTCGCTCGTACAACGTGCCCGCTCCACCTTCCCTGTGACGGGGGCGGGAGAAAAACGACTCTCACAGAAGAACAAACAATTTCTTCGGCGATTACCCTTACAAACAACAAGGCCCACCACCGGCGGCCCCACGACGGCGTCCTCGCCGCCTGGGCGGACGCGATGCGCGCCCCGGCCAACGCGCCGGTCGTGCACGGCGACAAGGAGAAACCAGAGCTCACCCGGCAGTACAATGAGGGGTACAAGACTGACCTCGCAGAACCCCACGCGGGACCGGGAGGATGCGATGAAGTAA